ACTGAGGAACGGAAAAGAGCTGCCAAGCGCGGTGGGCAAGGTACAGCAATCGCTTCCAGCTGGAAATCCGCCTATGACAACCTCAGAAGAGTCAGAGCACGCGCAGAGAGCCAAAATGTGTGCTATTGTTGTGGTTCAAACCAACATCACCTGGCTATTTGTCCCGACACTGAGAAGAAGGACGTGTTGATGAAATCATTCTCTTACATGGAGGACACTATGCGCAAATGCTTCACCGAGGACGACAAGGCAATCATCCGACGTGATGTTGAAAGCCGAAAGAGGAAAGCAAAGTCATCCAAAGACGTCGAAGACGAGGACTACATGGATGTGGATGATGAAGATATTGAACTTCCCGAAGAAGAGCCGGAACTAGGAAGTAAGGTACCACCTTACTCTCCGAGAGCCAAAGGTAGACCACATTCGTCAGACTCTGCAAAAGAGGAATACGCAAAAGCGGTCGAGGCAACCAAGAAGGCCTTTGGGAACGCCAGTTTCGTCACCAGATTCAAAGAGCCCGTCGACCTCTTTGACATTGCCGATGACAAAGAAGGAGGAGAGTACAGGGTCGCAAATCACAGGGTGGATAGATCAGGTCCTGATGGAAAGAGGGAACTTGATGCACTTATTCAGGAGGCTGCAGCACTCGGAATAAAGATGCCCAAAGTGAAGGACCTTGCTCCTGACCCACAACAATTTCAAAAGGCTGGATATCGGCAGATTGAGGTGACTTGCGATAGAGGAAACATTGAGATAATTCCACAGTATGGAGTCACATTCTATGTGGAGTACTGGAATGGACCGAAGAGAGATGCAACTTTCACGGATCCACCAAAGATGAACCCAGCAATTCGCATCGACAAGTTCAGCGAGGAGAGTCAATGGGTCAACGAGATTAGCCATAGACTCAATAGACTACTCAGGCATGGAGTGGGAAAGCATAATGGGATTCAATCGCACCGCGGTCGAAAACCTCATGTGTCCCCGAAGTGCAATGAGGGTGGATGGGTGAACATCGATGAGATCCTGGAATATGATCATGTCTTCAACGATGGTGTCAATATCAATACTATCACAGGTACTCAACGTGAGCAAGATACCAAGACAGAGCGATACCAGTATTTATGCAAGGCGATGTGGCATGCAAAGAAGTTGCAGAACAGAGTACGCTATCAGATTGCCGCTATTCGCATCTCAAAGGAGGATGTCTCACTTGAAGAGGAAAGGCGATACTGGGCAAACCTCATGTTTCACGGCACAGATGCACCGTCATTTCTGAAGCATGAACGTTGGATCGTTCCTTGTGCAATTCGAGCTGTTGCCTCTCACAATTCTGGAAGAGAGACTGTTCTTGAAGAGGATGTGTCAATATATCCTGTGTGGACTTCACATCTCATCCCAGAGAATGTGGCAATGCAGCTTGGAGGAAGCTTTCACATGACATCGCTTTCCAATATTGAGTCAATCATGAAACTAGGAATTGTCCCTGGTGGAATGGAGGGATATAGAGGTAGTGTTTTCTTCAACCACTTTGCGCCGTGGGATGATCGATCATCAAAGATTCTGAGATCAAGATGGCCAAGAGGGGGAATGCCCGTTTGCCTTTATGTTCCAATCATGACTTTGAGGAAGCTTGGGGGAAGAATTTCGGAGAATTCCTACACTGTTGTTTTTAGAGAAGTTCCATGGAGATGTGTACGAGGTGCTTGGTATTGGGACGACCACGGTCAGGCATGGAGGAGACTCCTGCTGGGAAGCACTGGAGAGCAAGTTGTTCTAGCGGCACGTCATGGACTTTGGGTTGCTCAGAAGCATACCATCCTCGAGAGAGCCGACGAAGTCACGAAGTCAGCCTCGGCGACAGATGACAACGCCCAAAAGCTCGTGTCCCTTATCGATGAAGTACGATTCGATGACAATGGAGAGCTGATCGAGGATTCCATCAGTGAGGAAACTTGGGACGAAATCATCTCCAGAACATGTGAAGGGTATCGCAACGTGGATGGCAATATTTTGTGTCCATCATGTATGCATTTGACTTCTTCATCTTTGTCCGTGTGCCTATCTTGTCAAGGCAGGCTACTCTCGTGTGGCATTCGCAACACTGTCATTTCCGATTCACCCGTTGATCTTGTGAGCGACGATGAAGAGGAAAAGAAGGAAGAGAAGAAGCCTGAACATGATGATCAAGATATATTGGACCAGGCCACTATGGACGAGATCAGAAAGGCTTGGGAAGAAGACATCGCTCAAACTGAAGCAGCTGAAGACGACGAGGACATGGACAATCAAGATCCTTCCAAACCGTCTGATGGTGCAGAGAACCTCAAGAGTGACAATGTCGAGACCCCATCTTTCAATGAGGACGAGATCGATTACGGTCGTGACTCTGATCTAGAAGATGAAGACGAACGAAACGTGATCATCGAGATCCAGAGGAGCACACAACAATATGAGGGGAAGAAACGTCAAGATGGTGAGCCCGAGGATGAAGACGTCACCGACGACTTACATCCGGAGGCGAATCGACCGACAGATCGTGATGAACCGGGATACTATGCACAGCACGGAGCGACCGAGTTCAATCCCGAAGAAGGAAGAGACAACGAAGATCTCCCCATCTATTGTCGAGTACCGGAACCTCGAATCTATGCGCATCAAGAGAGAGCCTACTGTCAGGACGTCTCCATGAATGCATCGGGTTTGATGGATAGGTATGTGGTCAAATGTGTGCTGAACATGATCTCCCTGATGTACAAGAGCTACTATTGCACCAGCCTTACCGATTTCAAAGCAAATTGGAAAAAGAAGCGTCTGGATGTGATAAGCAAGTTCGGTACAGGAGATTCCACTGAAATCGATGACGATGGGAGACCATTGGATCCAACAGATGACATGATGTTAAACTTTGCCAACGACAACAATATTACAACTGAGGAGGCCTGGCATCGATTCAGAGGAGAGCAATTCATTTGCAAGGTAGCACTCATGATCCTATCATTTGGTCATACTCCGAAATCCTTCAAGGAGGAATATGGCAACTTCGAATACTCCACCAACTTGACTGATGCCCAGCTTGAGGAGTTGAAAGCGAAGAAAGCCAGTGCAATGACTGAATTGGTACAGAAGTGCATCCATGCGATTTATGGGTGTCGGACATATTCTTATTTTAGAACCGACATTACATCACCCTACCACAAGGTGATCGATCCTCTGGACATCATGTACTCGAGAATGAAGAGCAAGTGGGAGAAGTCTATTCTGTTGATCGTTGATCAACATGAGATTAGGTTGCCCCCACAAGCTCAGGAAGTCATAGAGTCAATGGCCAGAAACCCCAACGTTGGACATACAGAGAGATGGATGAGCGTGGTAGAACACAAGCATGTTCAAGCTCTTACCAATCGTCTAGGCTTTGGAGATAGGGCCAAGGAGATTCAGGGCAAGAAGAAGCAGGCAGCCAAGGCAACAGCTAAATCAACATCTTCGTCAAGAGCTGAGACAAAGCCAGCATCTACACCCAGAACCGAGGCCAAGCCGTCGTCAGCACCAAGTGAGGAGCCAAAACCTTCAGCAGCACCTAAGAGTTTCGGGCCCTCATCAGCAGAGGAGAACAAGGTGAAGGCTGCTCCAAAAGCCAGACCACATGATAAATCACCATCCAGTGCTACCGATGTGTTTGAGCAAGCTTTGCAGGAAGATCTTGCCGCCAACGCACATACAGCAGAAGGTACAACTTCTTCATCATCCCGAGGACATCCCAAAGGAGGAGGCCAATCTGGAACATCTTGGAGGCCGGCGCTAACGCAAGAACGTCGCGAAGTACCTCAACCTTCTGAAAAGGGAAAGGGAAAGAGCAAGTCCAAGGGAAAGTCCAAGAAGGGAGAAGATGATCGGTGGGATGCTCAGGGCAGCTGGGATCATCGTGGATGGAGAGGTTATCACCAGTGGTGATTTCTTTGAACGACTATGAGGATACCATGCAAGCCAGGGAGGAAGTCATTCACCGGATGTCTATCTGACCTGGAACGCTGTAAGTGTATCATTGCAAATCGTCAATTTGATTTGATACCATGAGCATAATGGAAGGAAGACAATCACCGACTGTCTCTCCGACTTGCCGTTCTGTAAGTGTATCCAAACCAAAACCTACATCCTTTGAGAAGTGTGAAGTCAGTTGCCGATGTGACATCTACGTGGAAGTCACCAGTTCGGATCTACATCAAAGCGAAGCTCTTTTGAGTGGATACTGAGCGAGGCCTCGTGACTGTCTCACTTGTTCAATTCGATTTTTTTCAAAAGGTTCTGAGCCATAGTTGCACACTTTATATGTAAAAGTCCGCTTTAGTCCAGCATGTTTCGTAGTATGAGCCTCATATGAGTCTCGCGGCAAATCATAAAATTTCTTTGTAGCACTTACATCCCTAAATTTTCGTGTGTGATCGGAACATATTGTTGCCGTTCACATGGGGGGTGCGAATGGAAGTGCAGCGACATGTACAGTGCAACATGTACATATATATACATACCATATGTACTTTGGCTCAAGGATCAAGCGACTAGAAAAGGTGCGGTTTCCGTTCCGACGCTACGCCGCTTATGGACCGTCAGTGATAGCTTCAAACTACGCTGATTAAGATCCACTCGCAATTGATGATAATAGTCGCAACACATGGAAATGATTTATCCCTCTAAGTGTCCATTCAAGTATTGTTGAAGCCGGAGCTGGGGCAGCACCGAGAGTACACCCTCGCTTGTATTGGTGATCACTCCTTGCACGGATTCGTGCCGGAATGGTTTTTCAAGCAAAGTATCCACCAAAATATGACCGTTGAAACCAGGGCTGTAGTATTCAAGAGCGCGCACTCCACCAGCGCTGCATTCCGAATGGTTCTTGCTTTCATTCACGCCTCTCAAGCACATGTACATCTGTGGAGACCCTTTGACACCACAGGTGTGAAATCAGCGTAACCTCGTCTATCCGCCTCCCCTCCCACTAGGCAAGCAGCGCCCCAACGAGCCGGCCCTGCCGCCGCCCCGCGCCTCGAGCATGGGGCGGTCCGTGACGACGCGCCTGCCGACCACGCCAAAATTGATGCCGGTGCCTCCCAAGGGTCCTCCACCAGCGCACCTGAACCCTGCCCAAGTGGCTCACGCCACTCACCACACTGCTCCATCGCTGCCAAAGCCGCCCAGCCCGGAGCCAGTACGGAAGAGGGCTTGCATTTGGTGGCCTGACAGCAAACAGCGGCAAGTACAGGAATGTTTTTTCTTTTTTTCTCCCCTGTGACGCAAGAAGCAGACACATGGTTTCCAGGCACCTGACAACTTCCAAAGATTTCCATCCTCAGAGGATGCCAGGGGTGAAAAGCGTGTGGGTTCACATGTATTCTCTACGGCGTAGCCTGAGCAAGCAAGCAGGCAGGCAGGCAGGCAAGCAAGTGGAATGACTCCAATCCTTTTGACTGTTTGTAGAGTTTGTTGGAATGAGGTGGGTCGCAAAGGTAGCACTTGGTATACGAACTGCATAAAAACAGATTCACCGAGAACGCATGTCTCGTGAGGTTCATGGAGAGTGTCCTTTTGCACGGTGAGAACGCACAATCCGACGAAGATGACGGCGACTCAGAGTGAGACATGACACCTGCTCGTGTGCCGAGAAAAGGGGTGGAGCAATCATCCCGCACTGCCAGCGCAGGCCGTGCGCAATGATTGAAATGATCGGGATTTGTGGCGCATGGTTGAAAGACTCGCCACAGGTGCGCCACCCAACTTAGCTCCGTGGAGTTTTTCACTCCAGCTGCTTACCCGTCGCCTTTCAGCCACAAAACCCTGGGCAGATTGATGATTACCTTCAACACTGTGCCCTTAGGCGGAATGAAGAATCAAGAGGTTGCACACGGTTGCAGACCCGAAAGAGGGGAAAGTGTTGCGATTTGCCCAGAGCCGTGAAGACGCCCAGAGCCGTGCGAAAAGTGTACGCACCTTCCGGTGTGCAGAAGCCTGCTTTTGATGCACCTAAGAAGTACACCTGGTCATAGAGAAGTACATGTGGAAGCTGCTAAGTGGAAGGCGCACGTCGGAAGTTGGACCCACACCCACCAAAATGCCGGACTGGCTTGCAGCCGGTTAACAGAAGTTTCGTGCGCAAGCTGAGCGGCAAAAAACAAGGCTTGAAGTGTCCAAATTCGTGCACACCCTTTTGACCAAACATGTGACAATAATGGTTTGTACGGAGCCTCCGGGCAGTGATTGGGCAGTGATCGGAATATGGTTGGAATAGACGCTTCGTCCACGGTGGTTTCTTTCTTTTCGGCGTGCTGAGCATGATGCCACATGGTCACATGATCCAACAAGTGAGCGGCACAGGAAAATGCTCGTTTGAACCATGATTGGGCGAAGAGATTGCTTCGGAGGTCCGACACGGTCCACTTCGGATGCATGATTGTTAGACTGTAAAGTTGGAGGGATTTGGAAGGCACCAGACCTTTCTGGACTCACTGTGATGAGGAGACCAATGAAGACATTGGTGGACCCGAGGATCAGGCGCACCCGGATTTGTTTCATGCCGATGGGCAGGAGGAATGAATGAGTGGTGTTCTTTGGTTGGAACTGGACTCGCCTTCCGAGTCGTCCTGCTTCCGCTGGTTGACCTCTCCGAGCCTCAACGGGGCGTTTCGCCGACCTGGTCCATGGAGAGCTGCCGTCCAGGTGATCGCCTTGAGCTCGCTGCCGGAGCCGGTGGCCGCCAAGTACTACCACATGAGGAGGCGGGGTCGACACCTGGGAGGTGGGAGATGAGATTGATCATCCTGGGGTCTCAAGAAGCTGCCGGAGATGTGAGGACGTGACAACGCATGTTCCCTTTCTGCTTTTGCTCAGGAAGATGGAGAAAATCCGTGACAAGGCCCACCATCAGATCGAGGCCCGATCCTTCAAATCGGTGTCTCCAACCCAAAGACTGTCCGGTGGGAATGCCCTTCGGCGAACCACCGTGGGAGCAAGCGCTCCAGCGCGGAGCGAGCGCCGTTGGTGTCGGAAGGATTCTTCCCAAACAGTGGATCGAGGATCGAAGTGTTGTTCCAAGACCTGCGAGCCGGTTCGTTTGCTTGGTTCCGGTTCAACTTGGTTCATTTGCTGCCTAGTTGCGTCACGGACCCTGAAGAGGGCTAAGCCACACTTAGTTCATTTGCTGCTAGGGCTGCTAGGGGGCCAATCAATGCATCTTCTGCCTCTCCCCCCGTGCCAGCCTTTGAAGCCCTCTCCTACCTGTCGCGTCGGATAGAATCTCCTCCTCCGGCATCGCCGGCAGGACTTGAAAAAGCAAAAGCTGATTGAAGCTGGTATTGGTGCTGTGGGGCCGGGTTGCCTATTCGCCCAGTGCAGACGGACTAAAGATGTTGAATCACCACCTCCGACCAAGATCATTCATGAGAGACCTGTGGCTAAAAGGCGGGCAACTCTTTCTTTGGGTTCTGACATGGTTTTGGAGCTCCATCATCGAGATCAAGCTGCAAGCTGCTGCTTGATGTGTGACATGTCCATGGGCAGCGGTGATGTGTGCCCATAACCTTCCTCAAACCGAGCATATAGAGACGGTGTTTTCTTCAACCAGCGACTGCTGCCATTAGGTTGGAGGACCGCAGAGAGCGGCGGAAGCCCGGGGGCCATCTGCGCCTCAGGGAGCACGCAGGACCGGTTCCGGTCCCCCTTAGCAACGGGTTCAATCAAGTACTTTGTGATTTTTTCGTCCGTTCTTTTTCTCTTCCCCAGGGATTTCTCACCAGCTGAAGAACATGCCCAATTGACTTCAGAGCGGAGGTGGGAGAGGTTGGGCTTCTAGTCGTGTGGTCACGAGTGATGAAAGCTGCGGTTGAGTGGCACCCGATGCACCGAGAAGTGCATGTTCTTTTCTTCGTTGAGACTCCCACAGTTGAGAAGTCGAGACGTGTCCACCACTGAAAAGTGCCAGGCTCTAAGGGGGGGTTTCCTTGGTGTTGGCCCTGTTGACGTCGGAGAATCCCAAAGCCATTTTCATTCACTGAACGACCCTTCTTTTTTTCTCAGAACTTTGCACATCTTTGCGCATGATCAATTCCCAGATCAACCATGATCAACTTTTTTTAAAAGGCGAATGGGGATCATTAAGACGGCCAGAAGAACCCGATCGGTTTCCCCCCAGCGGTCACGCGACGCATGGGCGACCCCTTGCAAGGGGTCAAGGGGGGGTTGTTTGGCAGGTGGAGAATAGACACAAAAGGTTCATGGGCAGATGGTTGGAGTTCTTTCTTAGTATGATTTCTGATTGCTGAGAGTTTGAAAAAGGTATTTCTTTGGCTGTTGGATTGTTTTGTGGGCTTCTTCTCGGGCGAAACCGAGGTCCACGCAGTCAGCTTTGGCTTTGGAAGATCAGGCGGGCGATCGGGTAATCGGTGATCGGGTGGTCGACGGTGGGAGTGGTGACAGTGGTGATGATGGCACCCCGCCTTCGATTGGAAAGGAGCGGAGGCTCAGCAAGGTGCCCTTCCGCGCCCTTTTTTTCTCTCGTGGAAAGACGCGAATCCTGGTCGTCACACCGTCGCACCCACGTGCGGGTGTAGTGTTAGGCGTTGTGTGCCATCTGGCATGCCATCTGGCTCCGCACCAGGAGGAGCCAGACGTCTTAGACGACGAGAATGAGGTGGAGGAGATGTTGGGTGCACATGGCCCTACTTGATAGGGATATTTTTGTGCCCCATCAAAAGCGACATACTGAGAAGAAGGCGCAGCACGGTGGTAAATCTAGAAAAGAGAATGAAAACAGACGGATTCGCGAATCCCAGCCATCCAGCCAGCGAAAAAGTCCCTGAGACTTCCTGAGAATTCTTGAGAAACCAGACCTTGCAAGTCCAAAGACCCAGTAAAACCTGGTTTTTTACCTTCTCGAGTACTGTTTCTGTATGACCAGCTCTGCCCCGTAGGGAGAGGTTCCACAAACCCAGCCATCCAGGAGGAGAAGATGCCGACCTCTCAAGAAATGGCTTGGGGCTTCAGTCTTTTCCCCCGTCCCGACGCGTGCCGAAAGACAAGGAACGCACCAAGATGAAACGTCTCAGCTGGGCCCTGGAAAATGGGACGTCTTCGAACCGGAACGACGGAACCGCCACGCGTTGGTCGTTGATGTGGCGGGACTCTGTTGCGCATGCCATGAGTGCCAATGTGCCAAATGTGCCGGGACCCTTTTGCCAGACATGTGGCGAACATCTCTCTGGTACTGCGTGAGTTAGGGCACTACATAGATCCATGATATACGCACACCGCAGGTGTTGGAAGAAATGGGGATTGAAAAAGAGATGTGGTAGGCCCAGGTGCCTCGTAATGAAACCCGCCTTGATAGTCCAAGACTAGTGGGAAAAACATCCGACTCAAAAAGCGCGTGCAAAGTGCAACGTTTGCATGAAACCTAAAAACCTAAAGCACCTCAACAGCCCGAACATGTTTGTGAACAGGCGACATGCCAAAGTACGTGAAGACGCTCCCCATCCTGTATATACTCCCGTGGGTGGTTGCTGGACTCCACACGTCCAATACACCCAACATGTTCACTCGTCACGTCCAAAGCGAACATGTTGATCGGCCCCAGGCGGGAATTGTGGTCAACAGGGCCAACCTGGCAGATTGGACGCCGAGAGCAGTACTGGCTATAGAAAGACCTACCCAGTCAGTGGATGAGTGGATATCCTGCGGTCAGCCCTTCAGCTGGGGGACTGACCTGGAGGTTCACCGGTCTTCTCCGAAACTGATGGAGTCAGACCCAGTGCAACTTGGGAGTCCTTGCTAAGGTGATCAGTTTGGGTTGGTTGAGCCAGGTTCAACAGCAGCCCCGTGTCGGGGTGGTGAGAGCCAGCCGTGACTGGCCCGTGATGGTGGACCGTGGCGGTTCACAGAAAGCCAGGTGCAACTCCAACGAATGTTGGATGAGGACCCCAAGTTGGTGGAGATTTGCTCTTCGTGACGCGTCCTGATTTTGCTCTGAGTGTTGGGGTGGTTGAACAAGCAAGCTATTTCGAAAGGACACCAAAAAGCATCAAAAGCTAATGGTCGTGAAGGAGAACCAGATTCGATTGACGTTTGGGTAGATGCGATACTTGTTCTAAGATCATTGTCATTTCCGTTCCATGTATCTTCTCCCGACGAGGGCTCCATCGTGGCCATTTCGGCCATGCGCGTCCCACTAGCAAGGGTACCGGAGTACCAAACGCGGGTCCAAAGAAGCTACTGCATGTAGCAATTTGTAGCATCTACTAGGCACCAAGGGATGAGTTGGTCCAGCTTCTGACCGGTGTTTAGCAGGGAAAGAAGGGAATGACCCACACTATGGATACTAGAGGATAGACACCGAGCCATTCCCCCATTCTTTACTTCGCACCAGTCAGGTTGAGGTTGAGCCGCGTTGTTTGGTGGCCACCGTTCACCCAACAAGCTGCAACCGAGGAACAAGGCCGTTGATGTGGTACGACGCTTCAAAGTGGAGCAAACAGGAGGGATTCTTTTTGTTGGCCGATCTGGAATGGAGATGGAGCTGAATCTACGATCGGAATTTGGATGAACTTTGAAACATGTTGATTGATCAGTCAATTTCTGAAGCTTTGCAGCTGGGGCTCTTCAGTCGCAGGTCCCTCGGCCTTGTCTCGGTCAGGCGACGATCCCTTCGAAGTGGTGGCCCGACTCCAGGCCGAGCCTGGAAGCTGAGACGTTTTCTTTTTAGATATCGATATGGACCCCCAAAAAGATAAACGTTTGTGGATCCCCACTGAACATGTATTGGGACCGTGCCACTGCCTGTTTGGGGGATCACTATGCAAGGAAGTTTGTTGGTGTGATGTCTTGTTTAGGGTTCTTTTCCAAGAGCCGTAGCCTCTAAATGGAGGGTATGGAGGGCATATAGAACGGCACTGAACCACGGAGCCCCAACTGCAGTCCTGGCATGTCCTGGCTAGATTCCGGTTACACAGAAGGCAGGGCACGTTGGCGTGAAGTGCTTTGGATCCTTAGACCACTGATGGTCCACTAGTCTACCATTGGTAGCTTTGCAGGACCACGATAGCGTGTGTCAAGGATAAACACCCACCCTGGTGGCCGCCAGGCCTCAGTGGCAGAGAAGTTGGCTGAGATCGAAGGCGGGTGATGTCACGATGTCGTTCTTGACCAACGGGGCGTGAAGAACGGTCATGGGTTCAACAGGAAGACCCTTGGAAGATCCCATTTGCAGCAGGAGGCTGCATGTGGCCAGATGCATATGTGTGGGCCATGGTGCAGTGACACGTTTCTGAAAACACTTTGGCATTTGGCATTTGCAACACGAAACATCACGAAACCCATCTGGGGATCTCAAGACTTCCCGCACCCCAAACCAGTCGACTCTGGGTTCGGTTCGTGGAGTCGCCCGAGCAACGCCATCCCGCCAGGGATGGGCACCGATCTGAACTTCGATGAGGTCGAGACGCTCCGGGTGATGTCGCAGGACCTGATGGCGGAGGGTGGACGACCGTGACTGAGGGGAGGGTGGAAGGAAGGGTCTGATGGTTGGGAGGAGGTCGGTGGCTTCGGCACCAGGCGGCGATCATATCTATGTCTATGTGATTCTTTAGTGATTTCTTCAGAATATATAGATGGCACAAACCTAAAGATCTTTGTTATACAGGGGTAGATGGCACGCCATCACCTTTTGGGGATGGCGTGCCATCTGCTCTGAGACCAATGTGTATGTAGGTTTGTTTGGCACGAGTCTGCAGGAGCGGGTTGGAGTCGAACATGGGAGTCGAACGGGGTGCATTCTCAGAGTTAACATGGAAATGGAAACCGCCCGTTTGTAGAGAACAGTGGTCTTCCAGGGGCCTATTCCACATCCATGATTCATGTCAAGGAGTGTACTTGTCATTTGTGTCAAGGAGTGTACTTTGTTGGACGTTGTTGGCTACTTTTGTTTTGGGATGGTGTCAGGCAGCGCGGTTGTTAGCGACGGGGGTCTCCCGAATCGACGGTTGATGTGATCAGGTGGTTCGTGTGGCTGTTCGCTCCACACCCCCCGGGTGTCTGGTTGGAACCGTTGGTTTGAAGGTGTTAAGGTTCAAGCTGAACGACACCGGGCCCACCCGGTGCGCCCCCCCCCACACCAGCTCAACAGGAACTGCATAGCTGCCTGACAGAGTCGCAAAAGGCAGATGATGGCGGTTCCGGCCGCGGTCCGTGGTGGGTCGGCCTGGGTGGGGTGGTTGCGTGGGTTTCTCAGCTGATTGATGCTGGCGTGGTTCTCATGGGATGCGCTCACCGGATCTCACCGGGGGTTTTGGGTTCACTATGTAGAGCCGCTGATGTAGAGCTGTATAGCCTAGCTGTATAGCTGTTTGGGGATTTTTGGGGCGTAGCCGTGGCAGTGGCATGCGGCGAACTCACCAGAAATCCGATGTTGTTCAGAAAGCATGTTTGCAGGAGTTGTTTGGGATGCCTGCGTGGGGTGCCAGAAACCATCCTAACAGATCTGACGGTGGGGAGCCAACCTGAATCTACATTACTCTTGGATCTGGGAACCAATTGATCTTCCAAAGATCTGGGAACCAATTGATCTTCCGAATCCAGGTAGGGCTTACCTTGTATAGAGAGATATCCTGGAGAGAAAGCTACAGAACCTATCAAAATTTGACAGATGACTTCCTGGCATTCAGGGTAGATTGAGGATTAAGGAATTGTAGTTTCATTGGTGCGATTGAAGACTAGAGCCGGGTGGCCATCAGAAGCACATGGAAACGCTGTGTTTCATCCTTTGACCAGTCCTGAAAATGCATTTGGCCTACTTTGACACCTCGTTTGAAGCAAACTGCTGGCAACGAAGCCTTCACCCGCACGCGCGTCGTTTGGAAGAGGTTTGGAAGGTCGGATTTGGAGCCAAGCCGAGCCTTACAGGAGTGGCGTGCTGAACTGCTGTCCGTGCTGCAATTGGCTGCGTGCTCAGGGCTCACGGGAACGGTGTGACGGTGTGACCAAACACCTGCGGGGACACCCCTTAGACGACGAGTCGAAGAGGAACTGTCAATTTCACGCTGAGGAATGCTCAAGCCTTTTGTTGCGGTTCGTCCAAGAAGTTCAGGTGGTCGCCACCGGTGCAAAAAGAGCACTCTGTGGATCCACAGAGGAGTGATTGAAGGGTGGGCTCAGCTGCCTGCTGCCTGAACAAATGAGTTCCCATGAAAGATCGTTGGACCATATATAAGTTGAAAACAACCCAATTGACGTACAACATACAGAAACCAGGGAACAAACAGTTGCCTGGGCGTAGAACAAAAAGAGAACCCCTTATTAATTTAAGAATATTTATATACTATTATACACTCGTCTTCGGGGACTGTCATGACGCCACCCCAGATGACTGGTGGATCAAGTGTGGAGGGCCATGGTTGGGGGTGTATGTGTCCGCAAAGTCCGGTTTCTTTGAGGGAGCATGAGTTGAACATGGAGAAACACATGCCGAAATAAGTGATTTCGATCAGGCAGAGCACCCACAATCAGCTACCGCAAAAGAAGTACTGTAGCAGAGTGCCGAAAAACATCGTCTAAAAGTAGAAGATTAACATGATATGAACCGTTTTCAAGTGAATGTGATGACAGGACTCACTGTCTGCTGTCCTCCTTTCACAAAGATCACGCACCGGACTGCTCCCTTCCACCCCACCGTGGTCGATCTTCCCTCGCCGAGGCCTCGTTGCTGTCCACGGCCTTGATCGACTTGACCAAGAAGATCGAACAGGCGTGGGCGTGGGCAGTGAACATACTACTAGTAACAAGAAGCTACTAGTAACAAAGGGCATCGCTACTAGGAGCAAAGACGCTACTAGGGGCTCCTGGCCTTACTAGTAGTAACAAGAAGATACTAGTGAACATCAGCGCGCCCGTGGCCGAGTCGGGTTCTTTTTTTTCGGCAACCCAAAAATGGGACCGCGCGCATCAAGGCCACGTCGGAGCCGGTGAAAATGCAGTGAACAAGGGATGAACCTTTGGGTGGCTGCATCCCCATGCATAGAACAGTGTCAAACATCACCATGTGGTCTGGAAAACCTATGCGAGCTCGCCTCTACTTCGGGACCGCACTCAGGGTGCCTGGTTTTCTGCTGCGATCTTCTTCTGGAAGACTATCCACCGACTAGTCAAGCAATAAAAGCATCTTCCAGGACTTGCTGCGCTCTTTTTTTTTCCAACGAGGGTGCTCAAGAAGGCCGGTGGCAGTCCCACTTGGAAAGGGATTTGGTCTCGTTGACCCATGCAATGAACTTGCTCCAGGTTCAGCTCAACCACACAGAGTTGGCCATCAGGGTGGCTTGGCTGAGAGTGGCTCCACCCAGGAAGGAGATGAAGCCCTTAAAAAAGCAAAGAAGAACCAGTTCTGGTAGATTGCAGAGGTTGTTGAGATTTCGCGAGTGCGTTCTGGAGTTGTGCCGGGCTTTTCATATTTTTCATGCGTTGGGCAGACCTCATTTGGTCGGTCTACGATGAAAAACACATGCTTTTGCTTCCGTGCAACTCACGTTTTTCGTGAAGGGTGGGTTCCTCGCGTCCTATCACCTCGGTCGTAATGGGCGCCGGTGTCACTCGTTTGGCTCGGTGCCGAGGCGGCTCCCTTGACGATTGGCAGGAAGTGAGCCGTCAGGCCACCGGAAGACCGTGGGTTGGAAGACTGGTAGAGAGACTGCAGAGATCGTTTTAGTGGGGGCTCAGGTTTCTTGAGTCACTACAGGCTCAATTGGCCAACAAAAAACACACCCGGCCCACTAAAGGATGGTGTTCGACATTGCGGGTTCAGTGTCGCTCATGGGAGGCCGGAAAATGAGGACTAATTCTTCTGAGGCGGTTTCACCTTGCATGACTAAGCATGTGGTGATGTCTCAAGCTTCGAAGCTTCGAAATGTTTTTGTCGGTCAGTTTGAAGCGGACATGTGGAAAGAGACTTCCAAATTCTCCACGACTTGCTCCTCCCATTTTTTGAGACACGTCCATGTACAGGTGTGAAGTCTCACCCTTTACGGCCGCAAGGCACGAAGGCACTGGAAAAAGAGAGAAAGTGTGTGTTGATGGGGGATTGGCCTCAAGCATGGCCAGAATTATTTTGATCGGATGGAAAGAGCTGGAAAAGGTTTGTGCAGAGGGGTGGCCGCAATTGACGGGATGGCTCACCTCGCACACAAGTGTGCATTTTGTGCCATCAGCAGCCGCCAGCTTCAAAAAACTGCAGGTAGTAAGTGGGACTTTAGAATCTTCTTCAGCAATTGGGTCACAAGCCCCATGCCTTCTCCCCTCCCAGACAACAAGGACATCAAGCGGCAAGGATTTCAGCTCCCATCGCCACCGACCGGCCGGGTCGTCGGCCGAAGAAGCCACGCGCGTGCGTGCGTCGCGCGTCGCTCGCGTCGCTGTGGCCGGATGACGCACCAGCGCTCGGGGCCGGTGGAGGGCGAAGACTTCATCGAGTTTCAGGACACCCAGCACCTGGGCGTTTCGATGGAAGCTGGCGCCAGGGATGGGGAAAAGGACCCCAGATGCGGGGATGGGGCTGGAGGACGAGCATAGCTTGTGCGGCAGGTGAAAATTGGAAGCAGCAAGAACGCAAGGAAAAGCACTCCAGGTATGTCAGTTCGGAGGTTCCAAAATGTCTATTAGGTTTTTGTCGAGCTAAGATGTTCCTACTATCAGTTCAGTCCAGTGGGCAGTCAGGTCTTAATCAAAATAATCAAAACAGAAGCTTCTTTGCTTGGAGCCAAGTCTTTGCGGATTAGCAGGGTGGGTAGGGATTGCCGATAGACAGATGGATTTTCCCTCATCGGGCCTTCTTTTCTCAGGTATGTCACTGGACATATCCAGAGGATGTATCGCTTCTACATGTTCCTGCCTGAGCACGGAAGCTTGAGCTTGATATTTAGTGGGAGGAGGTTGAGACTCCCTGCCTTAACGCTGGCTTCCACGCTCGGGGCGTGCGCACCGCGAACGGAGGGGGCTTTGGTGACGTTAAGGGTTTTCCTTTGAACATCCGTAGGTCAGACCCGCGCACTGAAAGGCTGGACGACACCCCGGAACCATTCAATTGGTTTTTGACTCATGGCTTTATTCGACGCGAGTCTGGGGCGTCGAAGCGTTATGTCTCACATTCAGCGTCTCGTGAGTGCTATAATCTCTAAAGCACTCCAGCAAAGCTATCAGACATTGATTTGATTCGTTTGGGTATATTCATTTTCTCCAGCTCGCTCTTCGCAATGAGTTGTACCGTATACTTGAGTTGCCTTCTGCCCAGATCGGGTCACCCAGTCCACCTTTGTTCGGCTCATAAGGTAGGGGCTGGCTCAAGGAATGGCACTGATCCGATGCATTCTGGCGTGCCTTCGGTCACCTCCGCAGGTCCAACGGGTCACGGGTCGCTCCGTTCGGGTCGCCAGGAAAGCCGTACAAGACGATGTGGGTCACGGACTTGGACTATGTGCGGAAGGAGCGGGACAGGTGCTTGGAGCTACAGAAGAAGAAGCTGGAGAAGAGGAAGAAGTCGTGGCTGACACGCACTGGGCCTGGGTCCGTTTTCTGGTTCGATTTTCGGGTTGGGGTTTGGTACTCCGCTCTTTCATTGGTGTTGAGGTGGAGGAGACTTGATCACATGTTTTTTTTTAAACATCTGCTTTAGATGACCGTCCTACTGACAAGTGGACGAATGGGAGCATTGGCCAAGTTTGATTTCCGCATTGGATCACCCAACGGTCGCCATCGTGACGAGACCCCATGGAATAGGTGGATAGGTGATGGATTTGACTCGATCAGTCCTACATGAGGTGGCCCAGGGGGGAGGCCACCTCCTGGGGTTCCCAAAACAACCAGAAAGAACTTGTTCTTCATGTTCTTCCAATACGGCAATTGAGATCCTTTACATAGGAAATGGCTTGTTAGGGACACATCCAGGCTGATTTCTGCTTGTTTGGATTTGTTTCGGCCGTTCTTTTTCGTTCCGCCCGTCGACCTCAACGGCCGACGGTCCCGGTCGACCTAGACCCTCCCGTGGACTGCCGACCTTGGATCCCTTCCACCCGCGCTCCGGGGAGATCCCGCATGGCCGGAGGGAGAAAGCGGTCGGGATGTGGCGGTGGTCGGAGCATCCGAAGTGGCTGAAATGTGAGAAAGGATTGGACTTGGCAGCTGTTAGTGGGTCGATTCTGGGATAGTGATGGTGTTCCTGCCACGGTTTCAGGCACCAGCGCGCTCCTTGTATGGGGAAGGGAGCCAATTACAAGACAATAGGTTTCGTGTAGTGCGGCTCCGGAAGACCTCCCAGATGTCATTGGTGTCATGCAGCCACCTCATGCCGCAGGCCTCATTTTGTCCACCTCCCGCTATTTGTCCAACTGAGCTGACACGCCGCGTCCTTTCTCGACGCCGCGTGGGCACCTCGTCGAAACCCGGCGTGAAACTCGCCGCGACGTGAAACTCGCCGCAAGTGGAGGCCCTCTCTTTGCTTTAATAGCGGGGGTCCCGGTTCCGGTAAGGTTCCTTTCTGGGTAAGGTTCCTTTCTGCGTGTGGTTGCATTGTGTTGGAAGATTCTGAGTGAATCGACCCGGGCTGGGATTCCCATGAACCGACTGGTGCCCTAAGGGCAACTGCAGCAGAGGCCATTTGGGCCTTTCATGGTGATTTAGCCCTTCTCCGAAGGGACCTCAGCCAGGAATGGGTTGTGGATGGTTGTGGAATGCCGGGGTGGTGTGTGCCCTGTTGACATGAAAGCCCACAAGAGACAGTTGGAAGGATCCGTGTCTGTGTCCAGCTGGCTTTGGCCCACTCGGAAGTTGGAGATGGCCGGAGTTTTGTGGCCGATGGTGTCCGATCCCTTTTTAAAGCATCAGGGCTGCTCCCGATCCCCCAAGACGCTCAGCCCCCCCGGCGTTTGGCTTCCTAGAAGATATGCACGTGAGTAACCCCAAACACGCAGTTCCAACGTGGTGAATCATGGGAGCAGGCCTGATGTTGTGCCATGACCAAGTCAGGTGCTAACTTCACCGTCTGCTTAGCTGGCTCCCAAACCACGCGGTCTTGGATGTGGCCGCAAAAAGATGCACCCAGAAAGACACCGACAACAATCAATATGTCAGTTGAAACGCAATTTTTGCAAACAAACTGTTTGCACGGGAATCCTTCCCGTGTGGTTTGCCACCCCAGGATTTGATTCAACCACTATCAACCACTTGATGTTCGAGGGGGGGGCAGGGCGGCAAAAAAACCAAATATTTTTAACAACTCTTGTGGGTTGTGTTGTCGATCGCTCGTCACTAGATTGGATCTCAGATGCGCCGAGCCCTCTGCCATGCCCTTTGGACCTTTGGATTGGTCAAATTCAAAAAACACTGACTTGCAGTCATGCAACTTAAGGTCAATGCAGCACTCACTGTCGACAGGCAACACAACACATTGGCAAACATGCAGACCATTGCAGAGAGGCAGATTTACAATGATTTAAAAGAGCATAGCTGGCCGGTGGCCGTGAATGAACCAGATCCATTTGGGTCCTGCTGGCGCATTACGAACCTTGACTGGGGTCATTCCCAAAATATCCTCAATGCGGGTCCTTTTTGTTGTTGATTGGCCACGCACAGCTGCATGTGCACATCCAGCAGACCACATTTTCACACTGCTGTGCGATGCAGTTTGGTGATGATGACAAGAAGGACAGACACCCGTTTGGAAGTTGAAGCATTGGCTATGGGCTATGTTTTTAAACAGATCTTTTTAAACATATTTTTAAAGTACTGTTTCATTTTGTGTGGCCGTTGGCAAAGCTTCTGAACCAGCACTGCCCAAGGGATGCCTTATAGATCGCCCCCCGCCCCCCTGACCATTTATGTTCTATCCAATAACCATCCGACATGGGTGGTGCGGGAACTTTCATGATTTTTTTTGCAAAGGCCTTCCTTCAGCTCAGCCTCGGCACTCCACCCATGGATGTGAGGAGTCCTTGCCCTTCTGGCTTCTCATTAAGCGTTTCCCGCATGCTCCAAGCTCACAGGCCAGCGCCACCGGGGTTGGACCATGAATCGCAGAGGGCGGTTGGACCCGTGATTTCGGGGGTGGAACTTCGCAGACAGAGATCCAGAAACTCCCCAAAGAACAGCACATGTTACCGTGACCCGACTGGCCAAGATCGACCTCTTTTCGAAGCCGGTGAACGCCCCCTCCAGACCGAGACGGCTCAGCGTCCAGGAGTGTCGCACGTCCCCGTCGACCGACCTTCATCCCTTCATCGACCGCCCCGGGCCACCCAGGTGTTGGGCCTCCGAGTCACTCCCAAATTCCACTCGGAGGAAGTCCCAAAACACGGAGCTCCAAATTCCCAAACATCCAAACTGCCCAGTGAGCACCGAACTTCCAGAATCCACAGGGGGGGGCGACCCAGGATCGAGTGCTACCTGAATCCACCACGTTGTTCGGTGCTACGAAGAGCTGGTTCGAAAGGTTGTGGAGTCGGAGTTCAAAAGCACCGGCTTTAAAAGGTGACTTCAATGTGAATCCACTTTTGCAGGGGATGTTCTATACATGGAACCCATATTTGTGGACGTGGAGGAATGACGGCCACTGGCTCAGTGAGTGACCCAGGCCTCCGAGAAGAGCGCCGCCGAGATCTACCGGAAGAGGCGAGCAAGAAAGCGCTCGAGAAAGCGAGGGGGGGGGTGGCAGGTGGTGTACCCGGTTTGGCCAACAGTATGCGTTACCCCCAAAAGGTATACTTTGTATACTATACATACAATATATATATATATATACACGTGTCTGAATGGCTGGAAGAGGTTGCGGTTGGTGGAATTCGTGGAATTTCCTTCGACTAACCAACAAACTCCACAATAGCACAGATGGAGCGAACACGGCTTCTCTCCTCCATTTTGCTCCAGGGACGAGGAGCGCTCGGCGGAGATCCTGCTCGAGACGGAGATTGCCGCGCTGCCCTTGGCACCTAAGGCATGGTTCCCGGTGCATCGTTTGACGCTCAGGTGTGTCTCTCACAACAGGAAACCAACAGAAGACAGACCCTTTGAGACATCCCTTGTTGGTAGGGGCCTTGAGCCATTTTGAGCCATATGACTACTACTAGGAACAAGAACGCTACTAGGGGCTCCTGGCATCGCTACTAGGAGCAAGGACGCTACTAGGGGCTCCTGGCATAGCTACTAGGAGCAAGGACGCTACTAGGGGCTCCTGGCATCGCTACTAGAAGCAAGGACGCCACTAGGGGCTCCTGGCCTTACTACTAGGAGCAAGGACGCTACTAGGGGCTCCTGGCATCGCTACTAGGAGCAAGGACGCTAGGGGCTCCTGGCATCGCTACTAGGAGCAAGGACGCTACTAGGGGCTCCTGGCATCGCTACTAGGAACAAGGACGCTACTAGGGGCTCCTGGCATCGCTACTAGGAGCAAGGGCGCTACTAGGGGCTCCTGGCCTTACTACTAGGAACAAGGACGCTACTAGGGGCTCGTGGCATCGCTACTAGGAGCAAGGGCGCTACTAGGGGCTCCCGGCCTTACTGCTAGGAACAAGGACGCTACTAGGGGCTCCTGGCATCGCTACTAGGAGCAAGGGCGCTACTAGGGGCTCCTGGCCTTACTACTAGGAACAAGGACGCTACTGGGAGCTGTATCTACACCTTGTCACTGGAACCCATCGGATCGGACCCGTCCGTCTATGGATGTCTACTTCCATGTCCTTTTTCATGGGTCAAGTATGGTCAAGTCATCAAAGGTTGAAGGCCAAGATGTCCATGTCCAACCTCATTGGCTTCATCCCCATGGATCAAGACGTCCAAAAACCTGCCACCTGCATCGAAAAGCGGTGTCACTCGGTGAGATCGATTGACGCACATGGACCATATTCTTTTTTGGCGGGGGGTGTCCAAGGGAAGGTCATAGGTGGTGTAGGGTAGTCCGTCGGTATATTTTTGTAGATGGTAATTGACACCAGAATGCTGACATACTGCTTTTCACACTGGTTGTGCACCAGTCAATAGGATAATATGTGGTATAGAGTGCATGCTCATTGATTGAGCGTTCACAACTCTTCCCTCTAAGTTGATCAAGTTGATTGGTGGCTCTTCAGCTATGTCCGTTATATCTTGGTATGGTATCACTATCTCGCAGACGTCGTAGACATGGTCTCTGACACCTGAGACCGTGGATGTCGCTCATCCAGGCCTCGCTGGGCACTTCGATCCTGGAGCGTCATCGGGTCTTGCACGTTTGCCTCGGCCGGGAGCTGCTTGGAATGAGGGGCCGCCCCGCGTGGCACGCTGGCACGTGGCGAGCACGTGGCGATGACATCGGATGACACCTGCATGGATGACACCGGGGAGATTTGTGGATCGTTGGGTTTAGGAGGTTTAAGAGTCATGTCCGGCCAAAAACCACACATCACTCTTTCAAGCTGCGTTTTCGTCCGCGGGATACGGCCTCGTGGGCTGGTGGCTTCAGATCTTCCCAGGTCCATTGGAGGTTATCCCGTGTGATAGCAAGAAACAACCGTGAGGTGATACCCCGAAATCCCCTGAGCAAGAAAGAAGTGGTAATTGAACAAGTTTTGTTGAGTAATAGAAAAGGGAGAACGTCAAAGGGTTCCCCTCCAAGGCACGGAGTGCTCTTGTCGGACGCGGGCATTGCCTTCACCTGGGGCGACAATCGCTATGGCCAACTTGGGCGACCCCCGGTGCTGAAGGAGGAGAATGGCAGGCGAGGAAGAAAGAAGAAAGAAGGAAGGACAAAGAAAGAAAACCATATTAATAGGAAGAAAACGAAGAAGAAATAGTAAAGAACAAGAAATAACAAGAAAGAAACACAACCACGAAGAAAGAAGAAGACGTAAGGAAGACGAAATAACAATACATAAGAATTGTAAGAAGAAAGAATAAGTAATATATAGAGAAAGGAGAGGAAAGAGAAGAAACATACAAGGAAGAAGAAGAAGAAGAAGAAGAAGAGGAAGAGAAGAAGAAGAAGAGAAGAAGAGAAGAAGAGGAGGAGAAGAAGAAGAGCCATGCCTTTGACCGGGTCAAAGGTATTCAAAGGCTTTCAAAGATGCATTTTGGCAGTGGCCCAACGTTTCAAATTTCAATACAGGCTTGCAGTGGGGCTTTGTGTTGGTCATCAAGAGGGAGAAGCCCAAACCGCTAACCGCGGAGGCCTTTCCCCGTGGTGGGCCTGGCCGACTACGAAGTGACCCAGGTGGGACGGGGGACGCTTTGCTTCGAAACCGGGAGGGTACAGGGTGTTCTGGACGGATCCCACGCGGCCACAGCGCCCCGGTCCTTGCGACGGTTGAAGCTGCTGGACGCCCGAACGCCCGAACTCGCCCGAAATGCGGCCGGATGCGTTCTGACCACTGATGGCCGTGACAGTTCTTTTTGTTCTTTTTCTGGAAGATATTATGCACTAGCAAGAAGCTACTAGGGGCTCCTGGCCTTACTACTAGGAGCAAGGACGCTACGAACGGGGCTCCTGGCATCGCTACGAACGGAGCATTCTTACTAGTAACAAGAAGCTAAGACGTCGGACTCCGTCCGGGCCGGGCCGTGGCGTCGTCCACAGGTCTCGGCCGGCACGCACCACTGCCTGGCCTTGGTGGCGCCTGGCCTGGTGTCGACCTGAGCGCCGTAGATGCGTAGTTGGGGATGAGAAGGACTTTGGTAGGTGAGATAGAAGGTTGATAGGGGTTCACACCATGAGAGTTCAAATCAATGATAGGTTGAGAGGGGTTTACACCAATCCCAAGCAAAGCAGTGAGGTCTTCCGTGTTGACCACCATGAGTTCGTTGGAAGGTGAGCAGGCGTTCGTTCGGACGAGGGTTTGTGGGATGGTACTTTGGGCCCGCTCTGAGCGGACTGTCATAGCCTGGTTTGGTGGTTTGACAGGTAGCACTTCGCATGTGATTGGATGAGTCCACGAAGGCAGATTTCGGGGGAGGAGACTTCTTTTTGGCGTCCAGATCCAGTCAATCCAACACGATCCTGGATCAAATTTCGTGCTCCTCCGTGACTGAGCTGTCAGGTCTGGTCCTGGGGGCGCAACAAGGATGGGCAGCTGGGAGTCGGTGACTTCAGGCGCCTTCCAAAACGAAGGAAGGGGCTGGTGAACTAGTGAACTGAGGACCAAGCAGAAATACAGACGACATTCCTAGCCCGCAACCTTTTGGCCACATCCACATCCACTTCTTTTTGTGGAAGATGAGGATCTCAAGAAATGTTGGAGGATGAGGATCCCGCCAAAAGCAGTCACGGTTTTGGGGGACATCTGGAACTAATACGTCAATCGATGCACTTGCAAAACTCTACTATTCAAACAGTATTCAAACCGATCATGAGCAGATCGTCATGCATGGTGCCACCCTGTACACGGATGGTTCATGTGACGATCCGCGGGACCCTTATTCGGCTCGGGGCGCCTGGGCCGTGGTCCTCCGAAATCACCCTATATCCCCCTGTTTTGTCCTGGAAAGGATATTGCAACTGGACACTGCAAAGCGAGTCATGAATTGCCGTTACTTTTTGTATTTTACTTTCTGTTTTTGTTTTATTCTTACTTATTATATTCCTTATAAATGACATTGGAGGGGGAAGCCCTTGAACTTTCATTTTCCGGTTTCTTTTTTGGTGTGTTTTTAAGGATTGCTAGGATTATTGTCTCACATCAAGATCCATGAAAGGACAAAACACTAGCATTCATGGATGTATATCTCATATCATGCTTCCTTGAGGCTGAGCCTGCTCATCCACATATGATAATATGCTGATTTTGTTGAACCAGTGCAGCAGTTGTTGTACTTCAATAGTTCCAAATGTAGTATGCACAGCCGCAACAGGGCTAATCAGTGTTCAACCACCTGTCAGCCATGGCACACCATTGGTGCCCGGCACCACTCACCTGGCTGTGCACCGACGCAAAGTCCTTGCGAGCATGTTTTACAGTGCGTTCCCACTACAGACAACCGGGTTTTTTGGCAGCCAGCTCACTGGCTCCCATGAGTAATAAATCGGAAAACACACAACAAGAACGACAGAAGGACACAGTGGATGACCGCCGCCTCCTGCCGCCAGCTCGCTGGCAGCCAGGATCAACAAAGACGACAGGGGCAGCTTGGACAACAATTGGGCAACAAGAAGGGCAGCATAGATGACCCCCGCTTCCTCGCAAGGGAGCCAGATCACTGATCGACCGGGTGATGGCATCGCAGCCTGCGGGCATGAAGCACCTGTTAAACCTCTCCAACATTATGGCATGAGTGTCTGGGCGTTGCCAAAGAGAGCAATCACCCCTGGGTGAATAGGTGATCCATCAGCCTGATAGGGTGAGAGGTCTGGTTTTTCGATGTGAACGACAGTTGAACACCATCCGAAATGTTGGACAGCAGCGAGAATGATAGGGACCAGAGCCGCTCAAGGACAACGGCCTGCGATCACTTCAACTTGACTATCAAGACACGATGGTTGCAGAGACTCAGGAGATCAAGCAGGGCTTGAGTCAGAGTTGATCCGAGTGCGGTACCTTAAGGCCCTCCACTGAAGCCGGTGAGCTAGCCACGTTCCAGGGTTGCTCATGTAATCGAGCCGGTTGCTCCGCATGCTTCAGCTAAGAAAGAGCGCCCGCACCTGGAAGACCACCCAGGGCAGCTCCAAGAGCGAGGATGAGAAGGCAAGAGAAATGTGATGAGGGACTTGTCGTGAACTAGGTTGGAGTACACCCGCCACGTCATTCGTCCGAGTGACAACGAGCACGGGTCAAGTGTGGTTTGCCAGTCCCATCAAGTATGACAAGGCACAGTTTGAAGAGTGCAAGCAAAAGAATAGGAACCACTTTCAACTCCTGATGAAAGTCGCCTATGCTGGCTGGGTTCCAACCGCAACCTGACCTCTACAATACAGCCGCCGTTCAAGCCAACTCCGGCGCCTTCGCTGCTCTCCGTGACGATGGCGCCTCCATATGCTGGGGTGATCCTGCTTGCGGTGGCCAAGCAGCTGGTAGTCTTTTGGACATCCAGGCCATCCCACATCCCAGGCTTTTGCGGCCATACATGCGAATGGCTGCGTCAGCGCTCGGGTACATCCTGACTTTGGTGGCGACTGTAGCCGTTGCGCCATGTACCGACAGGTCGCACTCTGTCCTGGCTAATGAGGCCACTGACGGGCCTTTGCCGCCTTGACTGCAGATGGGCAGATCGTTGCGCGGTGCTTGGCGGATTATGTTCAGCAAGTGCTTAGCAACTTTGAAGTTTGATGGCTCCCAATTTCGATGAAATTGGGCCGAGGTGTCTATATATATATATATAACTACAACCTAAGAGCGATGGCCTCCAACCTAAGAGCGATGGCCTCCAACCTCAGAGCGATGGCCTCCAACCTCAGAGCGATGGCGTCCAACCTAAGAGCGATGGCGTCCAACCTAAGAGCGATGGCCTCCAACCTAAGAGCGATGGCCTCCAACCTAGTAGCGACGGCGATGGCCAAGCCTATGGAAACAAGAGAGGTCCCCCTGATGTTGGCATTTCCGCGTCGAACCCCTTCGCTTTGCTCTCGGGGTGTTCCCGCTCTCTCAGGGATCGAATCCATCCGGTGGAAGTGTGTGGGGGGATCCCAGGCGAAATCTGGTGGACTTGCGGACTGTGGGATTTGGGGAACGTGGTCTTTGGGGACTTCTAGAGGGAAAAACGAGACATCGGCGAGTGTATGCAGTGTATGGCTAGTGATTACTCCGCTTTTTTTTGTTCCCAACAACATTTCCATTTTTTTGAGGTCGTCCAAAAACTGGCAGAAACCTTTGATCCATAGTTACTCAGTGCAGGTGACCCGTTTGGGGTTAAATGATGCTAGCAGCAGTGTTACACAGCTGTGAATTTTGAGGAGGAATTCTGAAATACCAAACCACAGCGCGCCTGTTCCCACGTACCACTCAAAATCCCCTACGGCAAGGACGAAGGAACACTCTTTTCACCACATGGAAGTCTAACGGCTAAGGTTTCGTTTTGAGTGTTTCATCCATGGAAATGCCTCGCCGTCCGTCTCCGGGGCCGCACGCCATGGTGGTGTTCTGCTGAGGCCACCCACCAATCCTAGATGGAGCCGATTCCACCTTGCAGCCCGATTGCTCAGTCCTGGTTCCGGATCACCAGCGCTTGGGGCCGATCGAGGTTCGTGGACAGTTGGGTTGTGCGGGTTGATGTGAGACCAAGCATGTTCGCCCAAATTTTCGGAGGGACATGTCCACGACGGTGAACTGGCACTTCTCGCTTTCTTCGTTTTGCCATGGGTGACTGGGGTGTGCATATGTGTGCACAAACACCCGAGGTTTCATCTAAAGACGTACCATTTTCCCAGCCTTAGCCCTGGAGCAATGACCACCTCAGCAGGGGCCCAACCCTGTGGGGTTTTGGAGGTGGATGAGTTGACCTGGACTGGTCATAGCTTGAAGGGCATCTCAGCAGACCTGAGGCGGACTTGAACCCACGGGTGGCTGGGTCAACATCAGTGGGCTGCCCTGTGGAAACAAGTTTTTTCTGGATGTGTGGGTCGAGCCAGAACTGATGGAACACCAGATTTGCATTCCGAACACATCACATTTGGAAGTGAACATCCCCCCTGCTTGTAGAGGAACGCAGTGCTTGGTTGAGTACAAAGCTGTTTCGTGGTGCCCCGCACGAAACTCGATTGGCTGCCTTTCAGAGAAGTGTGTGCAGCATTGACCAGGCTCGGAGCCAACAAAGGTGGGCATATCGTGACCGTGCCTGGGCATGCGCAGATGATGTTGGACAGAAAATAGATGTTTGGGAAGCATGAGACATCATGAGACCATTGGCAATTGGCCATTTGGCAGTGGCATGATGTTCCTTTTTTTCTTTGACCACTCTGTAGCAATTTCCAGACCAGAACGCTCGTGATCTTTGTTTGTAAGGATTATTTGGCAGTCAGGCCCATTGACGGTTGAGGAACAATTGGACATGTGGAAGGGCTGGTTCAGTGGAAAAACACTAGGGGCCCGACATTTTGTCCTCAAACTCACAGAGTGATCTCTACAGGAGTTCGGCCTTATTTCTTAAGTCTTTAACCACCACCTCTACCAACCATTATATATTTTTATTCTAGTCTTTTTATGTTTTTTTACTTTTTTTTTCCTCTCTCTCTCTGTCTATATCTTTGGTGCTACCTGCAGAGAACAAGTGCCCTGTCCCCCTGTCCCCTCTGGTCTCGGGATGTTTTCGCTCCACGAGCCCACGAGCGTCCGCTCAGGTCAGCGTCCGCAGCTCAGGGCGACCGTGACGCGCCACACGAAACCGATGATTGCACCGTGCATAGACGTGGCAGCCTTCGTGGCTTTGATCCCACTGTGTGGCTTGGTGTGACAATTCCACCAAGTGTGGCGCGTTTTTCGCACTGAACACTCTTAGGCTGGCATGGATAGTTCTCTGGCCGCCGCGATGAACTCGAACGTTTGGCAGCACGGGTCTCAGCGTTTGGACGACCACGCCTGCCACTCTCGGGAGCAGACGTGGCAGGAACCCTCTTTCGACGGTCGGCGACCGGGTGGGGGGGTGGGCTTTGGGCACATGGGATGTTTCGACAGAGGTGGGGCATCGCTACTAGGAGCAAAGGGCATTGCTACTAGGAGCAAGAACGCTACTAGGGGCTCCTGGCATCGCTACTATCAACAAGAAGCTACTAGGAGCAAAGGGCATCGCTACTAGAAGCAAAGGGCACATGGCATGCTTCGACGGAGGTGGGGCCAGATCAGCAGCAACTTCAACGTGCGGGGACTCACTCGTGCCGGAAGTGCGCGGGTGGCCGGAGTGCTCCACGCCACGAGCGTGGGGTTGGGGGGGGCTTGGTGGTTTGCTCTATGAAAGAGGGGATTCTCCAGCTGAGTACAGCACAGACCCAGGGAAGACCTTGCTTCAGAAATAAGCCCATACCAGGGCAGACGGGCAGACGTCTGCCGAGTCATGCCGGCTGTGCTCATCCACTTCAGCAATGAAAAGCTAATTTGTTTATTTGGCGTCCATGTCCATTGCTAGGTCTTAAAGACCTATGGGCTTCACCTTCAAACAAGCCGAGGCACAAACCTTGAAAAGAACACAAAAATCGCAGCTCCGCTGAGCTGTAGAAGTGCTCTCCAAATGCCCGGGAAAGCGATGCCAGGTCGCCAATACCGACAAGTCCAGGAAGAGTGGGATTGCTTTGGTCCAAAACAGGCGCGTCTTCGCCTCTGTTGCACGATCGGAGCTTGGTTCTGAGAATCCGATCGTTCAAAGAGTAACAAAAAAGCTATTAGAAACAAGTGCCTTACTACTAGTAACAATAAGAATTAAATTAAAATCAATAGCTTCTTGTTACTACTAGTAAGGCACTTGTTACTAGTAGCGATGCACTTGTTCCTAATTCTCTCTCACTCTCTCTCTCTCCAGTTTCTATCAGTTTCTTCTCGTCGCAGCCAGAAAAGAAAGCACTTGTCCGACTGCGACTGAGACGACTCTTGGGCTTTCCGAATCGGTCACTGGAGAGCCAGCAGGCCGTACCTCATCTTCGAGCAGACCCTCTTTCGCTCTCAGATGCGCGCAGGCGCTGCTACAGAAGCAGCGACAGGACAGTGAGACAATATGAGAGAACAACACTTGCCTGATTTGACGAGATGAATGCCTCAAGAAGTAAGCCATAAAGCCTCAAGGAGTACTTTCGATTTTGAGTGGAATTTTTCCATCGAAGCCAACTCCTGGGTCCCCAAGTTCACACCATGAGAGGGGCCAGTTGTGGGGAGGACCAAAGCTGTCATGGCAGTTGTGGACTTGTCCAAATCTGAAGAAACATCACGGGTTATTTCTTTTTTGACCAAACAGTGCAGCAGATGCGGATGACATATCTGGATCTTGGGATGGACTGAGAAATATGGATCATGTAACATCATGTAACAATGTATGCAGATGCGGACCAATGTAGTCAGGGTTGAACAAGTCAGGTCATTGTGGAGATACATACATCTCTCAAGCCCCATGGATCTGGGTGAAAAAAACGTAAACGACACATGCCAAACGCGCAATAGGACGAAGGAGGTAGGACCAACTTCGTCTCTCACTCTTGCACTTCCCAATTTCCTTTTCGCACATTTATTCTTAGTGTCTCTTGGTCAAATTCAGGTCGAATTACTCCATGGTCCCTTCTCACCATACCTCTTCTACTGGGCGGGCCCAGTACTGGAGGACCTGGGTGGCCCCTCCCCACGCATCGTTTGCACGTCGCAGGTCGGGTGTCCATCTCGTCCACGGGATGCAAGGTCTTGCACCAGGTGCATCCCGATTGCTCGGTCCCGGTGGGTAGACACCAGCGGATCGGATCGGAGGGGAGAGACACCTGCGTCCTTTTGATGGAAACGTGACCTGCGTCCTTTTGTCTTGGTGAATAAGTGTCTTTTTTTTTTAAATGGAAAGACGATGTGTGACCTCCTATCGCGTCTGATTGACGGCTCCGTGACCTGCGTCTGTCTTTTCTGAGCTTTGAGATGCGGAGACCGCGGAGGGTCAGGGTCAGAGAGCAAAGAGAGGGACATCCTCGATTCGCTGCTCAGAGGCGTCCGCGACGACCATTCGGACGCGAGGGCCGCTGAGTAACCCCCTTGCCAAGTGCTTGAGAGTGACCCCCTTCTAAAGGGTGCCCCCTGGCCCAGGACCTCAGGAAGACGCGATAGGTGGCACCCAGGGCCTGGCCCCAGCTAGGGGCACCCCCTAAAGCTTTTGGGTTTCTTCAGTCACTGAAGACCCCGCTCGGGGCGCTCGGAGATCCACCGCTGAGATCGACCGCTTGGACGGACGTTCGGCCGGCAGGACACCTTCACCGAGCAGTTGAGAGCGGAGACGTTGGTGCAAGGGGTGCAAGACATGCAAGCCAGCATCAACGAGGAGCATGGTCTTTTCCGAGAGGATGGGAGTTGTTTAGACAGAGAGGAGGCAGAGATGTGGGGATGGGGTGCTTCCTGATGTTGGCTTTTTTCGAGAAAAGGAGGGACGAACCATGGGGAACATGGGGTGACACATGGTTTGGTTTGTTTGGCTTCGAACGTCGTTGGGAGTCGCTTGGCGAGGAGCGGCAGCACCTAGCAGAACTGAACAAGACGACCACCGAAGCAGAGGCACATGATGTTTTTGTAGCTGAGGCAATAGACTTGGAAGAGCTTTTCCGGCTACTGGTATCAGGTGATTCAGGATTTCATGGTGATTTAGGTGGGGGTGGGACAAAAGACCACCCGTTGCTTGCCAAGAATTCTCCCCCAAGAGAAAAGCTTACGTAGTCTTATGTCTATAATATGTGTACCCCTCCCGTCCAATACACCCCTCAGAGCCTCATGATCAAAATTGTAGCCGGCTTGCTTTGAGTGAGAAGCAAGGAACATAACATAATTACTCATTAGTTTTTAATCATTTTTTTTTTTGGTACACTCTTTTCCGCTGGAGGGGAACCTGGCCCCCTTCGCTCAACGACAGGTGAAGGTGCATAAAGCATTCAACTACATTAGGTTAAACACTTGCAATGCTGGAACGAGAATGTATTGTAAGAAATACATCTCAGATCTAGGGTTGTGGGGGACATTGAACATCAAGATCCAAGGTGCCTCCCGGTCACGTGCCTTCTGCAGTGCCAGGCACCAGCAGCGCAGCAGCACGGGGGCGACGAGGATGAGCTGGCCACGCTGCAGGCGGGGGAGAGCTGCACGCTTTTGTCATAGCTCCTGAGGGCTCCTTCTCATAAGATCGAATCATTGGTTCTTTGAAATCTCTTTTGTTCAAGAAAAGGAGCAACATCTCCGGTCAAAGCAGCCTCGCATGTAATGAGCAAGATGTGGAGGAATCTGGTGTCGGGACATGTCCGAAAAGGATTAGAGTGGAAGCGTGGAATGTGACTTTCCCCTTCAGTGGTTTCAAGAGGATTCAAAGAGGTGGTTCGTGTTCCCATCAAACCACTCCTCCTTTGGTTCTTCATGTTCTCTTCGTTTGGGGTACAACGATCTCCTGGCCTCCACCTCTCGGCAGGACACCATTGGCCAATTGGAACGAGACATCATGCTCTTGGAACGAGCGCCTTGGCGTGACGCGGGGTGGAGGGGACCTCGTCCACACCGGGTGGAGGGACGTGTCACGGAGGCCGGAAAAGACTTGGTTCGGTTCGGGGCATTGGTGGAAAGCTCCTGATGTGTGGGGAAAGGTTTCTTTTCGGGGGACTTTGAGATGTCCAATTTGTAAAACCATGGAAAGCCTAGCCTATATCCAATACATTCGTGCTGTGGCATTGTCTCGAGAAAGGCGCCTGTTCCAGTTTTGGCGGCTGAAGCCGCGGAAGGGTCTCAACACATGTGTTGGGTGCCATTGGGTGCTCCCTTTCTTGGTGGATTTTGGTAGCAGCTTTCCCACCCCCTCTGGCCAAGTGCCAACTGTATTCATGTAGGAATCTGAATTGACACGAAACCCCTTTGACACCACCTTCATTGGGACCTGTGTCGATCCATGATGATCCATGGGAAGAGGAACCACTTGACCAACACGTCCGGCAGCTGGGGTGCGTTCGAAGCCGATGTCCGTTGAGGACATCGAAGCCTACGGGAAGAGCCTCGAGAGCTGCGACCTGCGACAGGCGATCCTGTAAAGTGAGCCTGCAGTCGACCATAGATTCGACTCTAAACCATTTCTTTTTTGACCTTTCCGCCTACTTTGGGAATGGGCGCAAGTGGAATGGGAATGGGGTTCCCACAGAGGGATTCAGGGCGCTCGGGCCTGGAGGGACCGCAGTGGTCCGATCAAAGACAAGACCTTCAAACGGTGAACCCAGCTGGTTTGGAGGCACACAACCGGAAGCAGTTGCAGCAGCTGCAACAGCAACTGGGCAGCAACACGCCACTGTCACGCCGACTCTGCCCGAATGCCGCTGGCGTGGTGGGATGCGGTCAGCACGCGTCACCAGAAGAAGAGGTGTCCTCAAGACCTTCAATCATCACATCGTCCTTCGGAGAGAACTCACCCCTCTGGAGATCCGCCAGTGAAGGAAGGCCTGATCCCCATTCGCCAGTCTGATCCATTCTTACTCCACTCCAGCGACTCACTTGATCTTTGGCATTTGGGGTTCTGCTGGGGGATTCCGAGTTGAACCGAGGCAAGGCACCTCGTTGCGGGATCGGCAAGACCAGGCGGGTTTGGGTCCGGAAGAGCAAAGAAGCTCCAGTCGGAGATCAAAGGCTTCATAGAACTCTTCAGTTCTGGCGGGTTCTAGGCGATCACTTCCAACTCTTCAGAATTCATGGACATTTGCTTGAGAAAGGCTTCAAGTATGCTCATGGGCGGGCTGCTGTGGGAGCACGGGCAGGGAGGTCCAAAACGACCACACCGCATGCGACTTGGGATTCCACCAACATTGGGTCCCGCTTCAGTTCCCAAGAAGGGATCTGAGCATTCATTTTCTGGGTTGATTCTTTGGATTTCCCATCTCGAAGCACAACTTTAGAACAGGTCGCTCAAGCCCAACGCAGCTTTTCTACGACTGCAGCAAGGTATTAAATGCCTTTCGTCCCCCTTGGGACTCTTCAGGGCTTTGCAGCCGCAAATGCTGCGGTGATCAATCACATGCCTAGGCATCGCGCATTCAATAACCTAGGCAAGTGCAAACTGGACATGATTTTTTTTTTGGATTTCCCATCTCGAAGCTTCCGTGATTGCTATCCATCACAGGGTTTGGTGACACCGTAGCCCCCCGTCCCTTGACCAAACCCGTTTCGCCCAGTCGCTCGTTCCGCACCCTTCCGATTCGCCAGACATGCCCCGAGCGTGAGGGGAGCGGCGCAGGTGTCCCTCAACATCTACATGGCGCCCAAAGCCGGCGCTGAGAGGAGGCCGGTGGAGCGGCGGTTTTCGGGGGTTTTGGGGTTTTGGTGAGAAAACGTAGATGATTAAGACAACATGAAGAACAAACGATGATTTCGTAAAATCCATCGATGGGATTCAGATCCCAAAAGAAGGCCTCCGAGATCCTTCCTTTGTGGATCCCCAAAGACTCCGCACGTCGCTCCAGGAAGTTGGAGGAACAACTCACAGAGGCGCCATACCGTATGTGTTCTTTCGGCTGCGCCGGCGTGGACTGGGCCGGCCACTTTTGAGATCTTTTGAGCAGCTGGACGTGCATGACATTTTGCATCATGGATTAGTTTTTAGTTTATTGTTATTCCCCACATTGACGTGTGGGGTTTTTCTTTTTAGTGTGGTATCCGCTCCTCCGCCTCCCTCCTCCTCCTCGCCTCCCGCTTGCCACCAACGAATTGTCACCAACCAAGTGCCACCAACAAAATTGCCACCAACCAATTGCTACCAACTAATTGTCACCAACCAATTGTCACCCACCACTTGCTACCAACCAATTGTCACCAACCAATTGTCACCAACCAACTGCCACCAACCTTTTGCCACCCACCAATTTTCACCAACCAATTGCCACCCACCAATTGCTACCAACCAATTGCTACCAACTAATTGTCACCAAACAATCGTCACCAACCAACTGCTACCAACCAATTGTCACCAACCAATTGTCATCAATCAGTTGTCATCAACCAATTGCCACCCACTAACTGTCACCAACAAACTTCCACCAACCAATTGCCACCAACAAACTGCCACCAACCAATTGCCACCAACAAACTTCCACCAACCAATTGCCACCAACCAACTGCCACCAATCGGTCGGATCCGATGGGTACCAATTTGTCATGCCGAACAAAACCCCCACCGCCATTTCCGGAGACCTGGGAATGGCCCCGAGCAGGTGGGGTTGTTGAAACTGACAAGGATGCCTGCTCTTTGCTGTTCCCGCACTGTTTTTGCTATATCGGACTACCAACTTCTTTGTAACATCAAACAGGCTGCCATAAATAGAACTGGTCCTTTTGCCACTGGCTTATGATGCATGGGACTGCGTCAAGCCCCAAAGGCTTTCGAGCCTCTCGTGGTATTGCTGGTACTCTCGATTGATGTGCTGTTTGTTGCGTAGTGTATTTGCACGTTCGGCAGGTTTCTATTTTTTGTATATTGGAGCAGTGTTTTGTTTCACACATATCTTTCACAGCTTTGCAAGCTTCGTACTTTTCCGTCTCTATTTATCATTTATCTGTCCTTCTTCCGCATTCTTTTCGTGGCTGTTGAGCCCATTCGTGCACGCGGGAAAAGTGGGAAAGATGGAGGCCCCTTGCCTGAAACACCATTGGATCCTTTGATGAGAGTTGCAACTCCGCAACTCTGAACCTGACACTATTGATAGACCACTTCTTATTATCCTCACGACGGCATTTTCATGCTTTTTCCAATAAGTAGACCACTTCCTCCATTGCTGCTTGGCACGGCCGTTGTTTCACGGCCTCGAATCCGTCGCCCAACGTCGGAGGTCGAAGAGTTCGTCCAGGCGAACAAGAATACCCGTCTCTCGGTGGAGCTTAGGGTGTTTTTCTCGGTTGGGTGTTGGGTGTTGGGTGTGGAGGTTTTTCAAGCAGATGGATCTTACTATGACTATGAGAAAAGGGATTCTTTGTATAATATGTATATAGGGGCTATTTTATGGGTCACCAGTGGTGTGTTGTACCATGTACCAAACTTTTGCAGGTTGGGAAGTGTCAGTGTTTCCTTGGCGAGTGGGAAACGTCAGTGCAACTCGTGCTCCATGGGATGCAGCGCTTTCGAAGGTTTGTTTGGGATGTTTGGACAGAGATTTACTATATCTCTCCTATAGTTTCCGACAACCCTAGTCGGGAATTTCGGATTGGACAACCCATATGGGCTTTCACAACATGCTTTATTCACAGACACTGTGTAACGCAGTCTATGACTGGAAGGGCAGTGGGCGTGATGGATTGTCCGCAAGTTGTCCTTGAAAACAGGTGGTGATTGGGTTACCAAAGCCGGGACCCTGGATAGAAGCTGGCAGCCTGTCGAATCTATCTACGTCTCATGCCAACGCACTAAAGGCGAAGAAAAGACACGCAAAGACCAGCCGTTGATGGAAGACCTCCGGGGCCCAGGCTTCTAACACCTATTTATCGCACTGACTTCAGGGTGGAATCTCCTTCAAAAATTCACGATTCTTTCTACTTTCAACCACTTTTCCCGATCTTCACTGTCTCCTTCCTTCCGCATGGTGGTCTCCCATCCCACCCGAGGCATGACGCTGCTGGACCAACGCGCCGAGACGGACAAGGCGGTCGTCCCCGGGCACGGGAGGGGAGGAGCCGGACGTGGTCTGGATGGGGTGGAAGGTGGGTGAACAGTGACAGAAAGGTACTGTGCATATATGTTTTAATGGAAGTTACGGAAGGTGCAGAATAGCTGGATGTACCCCTGAACTGGTTGGTTTGGATGTCTTTCAGTTTTCTACCAAAAACAGTTGCTTGCCTGGTTTTGCGTAGCTGTGTGTCGAAGTTCCAAGTGAATCTCGGCACACACACACTTCGAACTTGGGTTTTCAGTTAACTCAATTGCCACGATGGGAAGGAAGGTGAGGGAACGGAAAGGCGCATAAGTCCGCAAAACAGTGTTGTTTAATCAATGTTTCACAGCAAGTGCAAGGTGAAGCGGCTGCACAGCGGTGGGAAACCTGTTTTTTGGGTGAGGTAGCATGAAGAACCATGGAGACAAACAAAGCAAATTAGACAGCGTGGTCAAAAGTTCAGGTTGCACGTACACGGAGGTGATCAATCTCCGCATCCCCCATCGTGGAACAGCTTCGTTGGCACAGGTATCCACGATGGGCCTGTGCCCCCTGCCTTGGATAGAAAATCTAGGTGGTGGTGGAAAAGTAAAACAGGTGGAAACCCTTAGAGCCAGGGTGTGACACACACAACACGCCGTAATCGGCGCGCAGAGCGAGCGGTGGAAAGCGCGGGTCTTTTTCTCAAAAACCGCCTGCACGCTTGCAGGTTATGCCCTTTTTGGGCGTAGAGGTTGACCAAAGCTTCAGCCCCAGTGGTGGCATTAGTAAGGTGAACTCGTGGCATGCAATGCAATTCCTGCTATCTGTGGAGTGGTGCAGAGCATGTGGAAGCTGATCAAACGGCTGCGGATTAAAATTTGTAAAAGTTGGGAAAAACGCACAATGCACAAACCTGATATCATGACGTGGGAATACCGAAAGAGTTCAGAGATTCTGGTGGGAAGTCCATCGTTTATAGCCCGGCGGCTCGAAAATCAGGAAATTCAGGGATAAAATGGAAACCGTGGAATCAGTTATGAAAGTGGAGAAACGGTGAATTCCGGCATGGCGTCGGTGCCCCACTGAAGGGGATCACACCCAGTACCCGAGTGGGAAGACTGAGCGAGTCACACTTCGAACTTGGGTTTTCAGTTAACTCAATTGCCACGATGGGAAGGAAGGTGAGGGAACGGAAAGGCGCATAAGTCCGCAAAACAGTATTGTTTAATCAATGTTTCACAGCAAGTGCAAGGTGAAGCGGCTGCACAGCGGCGGGAAACCTGTTTTTTGGGTGAGGTAGCATGAAGAACCATGGAAACAAACAAAGCAAATTAGACAGCGTGGTCAAAAGTTCAGGTTGCAGGTACACGGAGGTGATCAATCTCCGCATCCCCCATCGTGGAACAGCTTCGTTGGCACAGGTATCCACGATGGGCCTGTGCCCCCTGCCTTGGATAGAAAATCTAGGTGGTGGTGGAAAAGTAAAACAGGTGGAAACCCTTAGAGCCAGGGTGTGACACACACACACACACACTTCGGGTGGGATTGAATGGTTTGCCCCTTGTCTCTATCAACTCTCTTGATTGTCTCTCCATACTCGTGTGTAGGCCACCCATTTGGATCGTTGGCCATTGGGTTCATCCACTGCGATGATCACACTGAAGTAGGAGTGCATGACACTCCTCTTCCTTCACGTCTCATCGGCAAAGCCCCATAAAACCACTCTTTGCACGCACGCGGAGAACCCACTCTCCACAGTCTCTGTCCGGGCGCTGGACTGGAGTGGTGAGGAGAAGCAGAAGATCTTGGCGCAGTTGGCCAACAGCCGCAAGCAGCGCGAGCGCTTCCAGCGGCGCTTGGACATCGCTCGGGGGCGCAGACCGATTTCTTCGCGGGAGAGGGTGGGTCTTGTTGCCGGCGCACTGTTCAGGGTGAGTCTGGTCCCATCAGCATATGCACCCACCTCTCACTCCAATCTGTTTGGGGTGAGTCTTTATTTCTGAAGGATGTCGAAGACGAGAGGGACATGAGGATCATGAGGATCTGGGAGAATTTGGCTGTGTTCCAACCCCACTGAGACTCCATACTTCCAGGAAGGTCCATGATACACAGAACCCTTTGGTTGGTGTTCAGATCTCTGGTGCTTGTACCAGTAGGTTCTGGAAAGAATTCAACCTAAAATAACCTAAAGTAGATGAGCTTCCTGCGCATCGCATTTGGCACAGCATCCGATGTCATCTGCCCCAGGGAGTTCAGGTAGCCAACGGAACCACGGCCCTTTCTACAGGAGAACGATGTGGGCCTACGGGTCAAAGACCTCATTGTAGGGGAGATGGTCATACAAAGACACCATAATAGGATCAGGGATCAGGTTTTACTGGGTCTTTTGACTTGTAGGGTGGAGCGGGTTCCATGCTTCTCACGCGATTCCACCGAAGAAAAGCCCCCGAGCTCCTGGACGGCAGTGCAGGTGAAGGACCTGAGCAAGTCGAGCAAAGTCATGGGGCCCAGAACGGAGGAAGACCGACCGGTGACCAGGTGCTTAGCCATCGACCTCGACCTTAAGATGTCAAGGATCAAATCAGCTGAGATTAAAATTGATTACCCGGGATCAGTGTCCAGCTCCATCGAATCATCTCTCTCATCTCTTCGCTTTTCAGGTGTCCAGCTCGACCGGCTTTCTCAATGGACCGAAACGCCGGACCGGTGAAAATCCACCGACCTCATCGACTCACCATCGATTTGTTGTGACCGGACCTTCAACTCATCGGCCGAAGAACACATAAACACGCCACAAAAATACGAGTCTGGACACCCTCCGTCCCTTTTTTTGGAAAGAGTCTCATACCAAAGCACGAACACACGACAGACACACGACTCACTACACATGACTCATGTCTGTCAGACACACCAAAACGGGGAGGAACAAAAAGGAAGGATGACACACAGACACGCGCCAAATGCGAGCCAAACGACAGAAGCGCCAGATCCGAGGCTTCGAGCTCCGGTGCCTCGGATCCCCTGATCAAGGCGCGGTTGGGGGGCCGCGCGCGGGCCGCGCGGTCTTTGGAGCCCTTCCCCCTTCCGCGCGAGCCGAGTGAATGTGAACGTGTGTGTATGGGTGTGCGTGTATCCCTAGTTTCTTTGGTGTGTGGCTGAGGCTGAGGTCTTCGGAATCGGGCTTGAAACCTGATGCAAAGACATTTTTGGTACTGGAAAACTCAGAACGCCCGCGAAAGACCGTTTTCTTTCACTCTTCGAACCGTCCCGGCCGAGTGTCGGGGCGCGGTTCGGCGAGGCTCCCGCTGGCTTTTTGCGTCGGACATGCGAATTCCGATGACTCGATGAGTGCGCACTTTGATTCCTTTTTTATGCGATGTGTTCGGCCATAGGCCACACACCTTCATTGGGATTGAGTTGATTTAGAAGTGCTCGGAAGCCACCATCCACGATCTACCACTCAATGACAGACGTTATTTGCTTTTACTACGTATAGGGACCTTTCGGGGTCTCCCTACCCCCAAATCTAGAAGCTTTTTGCCAGGTGCTAGACAAGCAGTGCCAGGAGATGTCTGAGTGACCTGGAAAAACTCGTTGCTGGGGTTGAGTCTCGGGTAGATGTTCGAGCGGACAAGCTGAAGGGGTCATATGTCAAAGGCATCGACCGTGACTTGGCATCGGTGGTTGAGCATCAGTACGCCGTGGTGCATGGAGTACAAGCTTGATAGTATTTGACCTCCTCTTTCCACTGGGCCCTGGCCCTTCCACTCGATTTAGGGTGGCACCTCCCGGCTTCTCATGGTCTGTCACATGCCGACCCCCCGAGCAATCGAACGGGTCCTCCCGGTGACGGTGACGGATGGTCCCATGAGTCGCATGGGCCCTGTGACCCGGCACCAGAGGCTCCCCCTTTGGAGATGAGCGGTCCGTCCACACTTAGAGTGGTTCATCTCCAGAAGGTCTGTTCTTTGGTTCGGAATACACTGAAGCCAGGACCAAGCTGATTCTCGGTGAAAGGATGTCGATCCGTCTCGTTGGTTTTCCGGCCAAAGTGTGCACCATGGCTCGCGTCGACCGTCCCTATGGTATCTCATATTTTCAGACAGAACATGTCATGGATTTGGATGAAGAGCACCTTCCTCCCTCCTCCATCTTTTGATACCCAATTCTAACTTTAAGCAGAGGTCCTATGTCTTTCGACTACTGTCGCGTGTTCTTTGAAGCGGGCCGGGTGCGTTTGGGAGCCCCCCCTGGAGCAGTCAGAGCTTGATCCACCCATCATCGATGCAAAAGGAACGGATTGCCCTCAAGGTTTGGAAGAGAACCAGGCCTCAGGAACTCCATGGGATTTGCCTATTTGAGGCTTATCAGTATTTTTTTTCTCAGGTTTGTTGAGCTTTGAACACGTCAACATCAATCAGCATGGGTTCCGGCCGGTGCCACTGTGCCCACAACACCTCACTCAAGGTACTTCAGTCGCCGCCAAAGCGTCGGCGGAGAGAGCAAGGAGGGAGCATCGGGCGAACTTCATTCTTCTTGGACCATCTTAAACATAGAAGTATGAAGTATACGCAGCCCAGTAGATTCTTGATTTCAAGGGCCCCGGCTTTTTCTTTTTTGGTAAATCAATACTTTTGCCACCGATGGCGATTGTGCTTGCAGTACCACAATTTGGCCTTGGGATGACCCAATCTCCATGCTGTGCTACAGTGTTGAGGACTTCCTGGCTGCGATGAAGATCCACGATGCTGCCGGGAGCAAAGCGGGTTTGTCTCAAAGTGAGGGACACTATATAGTAGCCACTATATATAATGGCTTTGCGTGCCTTTACATTGTTCTGCTTTTCTCCTCAAGCAATGTCGCGCAACAGTTGCTGTTTCAGAGGTCCGGTGTTGTTGTGGTGCTGTGCACATGTGCATGTCTGGACTTCGACCCTTTTTTGGGGGGGTGGAGAGGTGCCATTTTTGGTATGCCTGGTTTCCACTTTGCTCTGGTGATGGTCCCTTTCGACTCGTGACCGGCCTCACGCGGCCGGACACCCGCTCCGAGGACCGTGCCTTCTTGGACCAGATCGAGCAGAAGATGAAGGTGCGACGACGCCGGACGACACCGGGACGACCGGGGGGACGATTCACGGCCGTGGCGCCGCAGTGGTGCGATGGAAGCAGTGTGGGGGGTCCACGGGAAGGTGTGCGATTGAAGCTTTTGGTGGGTGAGCATGGCCAGATTTTGGTTTTCTCTGTTCAAGCATTTCTTGCAGGATGTCTTCGGTGGTATTTATAGGGCTTTGAAAAAACATCCATCATGTGGATCAAACCGTGCGATTCAAGGAATTGAAGGCCCAAGCTTGTGTTTGCGACCATGACTTTTGGCCGGCCTTCTGGGAGACCCGAAGACACTCCTCGAGTGTTTCGTATTCCCAGACCCCTCCAAGAGGTCACCCCCTGCGACTTTTATGTCCTCAAACACTTCAGAAAAAGCACCCTTTGAAAGGACATCAATGCCGATAAAAAGATATAAAAGCCCTGCTCAGTTGTGGTGTTTGATTTGCATGTCCCTCCAGCAGTTTGGTTCTTGGCCCCAGGATGTGGTGGACAATGTGATCAGCAATGGTACTCCGGAGCGGGCGGAACGGGCTCGCCTGGCTGGGCCCTCGGATGTGGCACGTTCCCTTTGCTCCTAGTAGCATTCTTGCTCCTAGTAGTAAGGCACTTGTTACTAGAAGCGATGCACTTGTTCCTAGTAGCTTCTTGCTCCTAGTAGTAAGGCCAGGAGCTCCTAGTAGCGATGCCCTTTGCTCCTAGTAGCGTCGTTGTGAACTCCACGAATGCTGCTGAGGTGAACCAAATGTTGGTGGACATGGTGAACCTCAGAAGATCCTGGTGTGACATGTTGCAGGCGAAAACCAGGGCACTGAAGCCAACGCGAGCGCTGTGAAGTAACTCGCCTTGACCAGTGAGACCATTGTTATAACAAAATACCCCTATGTGTATCACACAGGCACGCATGTTTGTAGTGTTCTCCGCATGGATCATCCGTGTCGGCGATCCAACATCTGCATGGTTACGCCGTGTCCATCCAAACACACCAACCCATTGGCAGCGGAGCTCTTCCACACGAGGTCCGGTGTGGCTGTTTTCAAGACCAGTGAGTCTGGAAAAATCGGAAGGATCCCTGGAAACCTCGTTGAGTCCTATGAAGGATCCCTGGAA